TCAAATGCTGCATGTGGAGGCATTTCCCAAACAACTGGAGTTCCCTGTGTTCACCTTCTGCTGCCCAGCTGCCACATGGCCACTCAGTGACTTTGTCAGGTGTTTTGGCAGACAGCTTGCAGAGTGGAGAGAGGATTTTGATAGCCTATAGGGGAGGCCAGCTCCTTCCCTGCTGTAACAGAAATGGCCACAGTAAAATAACTAGATAAAAAGATTACTGCATTTATTTACTGAGCTAAAAGATACCTTGGAGCTGACAAAGACTCTGAGCTGATTCAGCAGAAAGCGGGATCAGACACAGCATCTCATTTTGGGTTGTCTCTTGTGCTGCATAAACTGTTCTCTTAAATGGCTCGGATTGTCACTTGTACCATTTAGTTTCACAGCACACAGTGCTTCCCAGGCAGTTCCCAGGCATTGTGTTGGTGGTTGTGTGGGCTGGAAGCCGAGTGCTGTGGATGCTGAAGGATCTCTGGGAATAGACCAAGCCACCCTTGTCATGGCAGTGGAGAATTTAACCCTGAAGAACAAACCTGGTGTAGCCTGACTGTAGTTTGCCCAACACAGTTGTTCCCTCTCCAGTCCAGACCTTCAACCATGAAGCCCCCAAATCCTCATCTTTCTGGTCTAAACTTTTCCAGATTAGATAAAGCTCTTGAGAAATCTCTTCTGGTCTCATGAAGGACTTCGTGGCTTATTTTTGTCAGAACAGCAGCAGTGAATTGCACATGCACACACACACACACACACACACACACACACACATATACACATATATGGTTAGTCACACTTTTTCAGGGCTGGAGTTTGGAGAAACTGAGTAGTCTTGTAACTCTTCTGTTTACATAACAAATTCAGAATGAGGGAACCACATGGTAGGATCCAAGTAATTGTGTTTACTAAATATGCACAGCACGCAAGGCCAGGCTTAAGTTATATATACACACCGCTGCTTCAACGGGATTTTGGCAGCCTCCAAAGCATAAAAAGCATTGAGTGACTTGAACTGTACCCCCATGGTCAAGCAGAAGTCTCGAACATAGAAAATGCACAGCAAATGAAGGCCAAGCTGAACGTACATTTATGCCTAAATCAGGGGGCTCAGGAGCAGGGAACAGCCAAGTAGAAGCACACTGTAAAAGAGCTTTTCCATTGCTCTCTTCCTACCTTCCAGGGTAAAAATGGTACAGATTCAATAGACCTTTGGAGAATTGCTCAGCCCTTTATTTTTTCCAAGATACATAGCAAAAAGGGAATTTCTGTTTACGTTCTCACAAAGTGACTGGCTAAATAATTCCAGATGATGGAATTTTCTTCTGTCCTTAAAGCAAAACAAAACCTTAACCTTCACCACTCTCTAAATGATATTAAGACTATGGTAAGAAATCTTTATTTAGCATTCAGAAAGCAGTTAACAAGAACAGAGAGTTGGAAAAATAACCCTAACTCTGCCCCTATGTCCATGTGCAATACAGGCTTGAATTGTATGTTAATAAGGTCTTTCTTTGGGATGCTTTCTATTTTTCCCTGAAGTTTTTAGGTAACAGCTGTAGCAGTTTTGGGTAACAGCTGTAACAGCTTTTAGTATGTTATGCCTCTATGAATTCCTGCAAACTAGTTATATAGAAAGGGAACTATAAGCCTATTACTAACAAAATGTACTGCCCATATTGGTGAATTCTGAAAAAAATGTGAAGTAGTGATTTTCATCCACTGTTAGGCCAAATATTTTTGGAGACAATTTTCAGCCTGAGAATATGAAGTCACCTTTTAATCTTTTTCTTTACAGAATGCTGTAAAGAGGAAGCATTTTACCTTCCTTTTCGTTAGCTTGGCAGATGGGCTGTCTACCACAGTTTTTACATGAAAAGAAACTGAGGAAAACACAGCTGAAACAGAAGAAAAAATTTTTTCTATGTGAAATTGTGGATCTTAATAAAAAAGTATATTTTCCAAATGAAACAAAATGTCATCGATTATGATGATTAATGATTACAGGTGTACTTCCTTTTGGTTTTGGACAGAAAAGTAGGCTGGAAACCTCATATGTCAATCCTGATATCATGTGCTGTCTAGGATTTTGTAATTTCAGCATTTCAAAAGGAACACAGTCTTTAACTTTAAAAAAAAAAAGAAACTAAGTTCAGGTGAAATGCCATTGCACAATATCAACTGGATATGGAAAATGTCACACCAACATATCTCATCATGGTGATGTACCTGTGTGAAAATGTTTATACTTTTTTTACAGAATCAAAAATCTACACTCTAACTTCTGTATTTTTAAATATCCCTCTAGGAATTTTTCTTCCATATATATTATGCATGGCATATGTACTTGAGAAATGTATGTGCATATTTCCCATAGGTATGTCAGGAGATACACCTACACACTCGTTTTACCAGTGTGTCTATCCACAACTGTACACAGCTTTTTCACAGAAGGTAGATCACATTTACATCTGTTTTCTCTCTCTCTTTTTTTTTTTTTAATAAATATGTGATAACAGTAGGGTTTTTTCCTCTTTCAAACTGTTGTTGCCAAAGCCTGCTACATTTCTTTGCTAGAGAAGTATCAGGGCAATTTTAAAAGACTGTGAAAGTGTTAATACTTTTTGTTCTGTGCTTATCCTGAAGAAGGTACAGCCATCTTCCTTTTCTCACACTTTTCCCTGTGTCTTTACAGCTTTCTCACAATGTTTTCATGAGGCAAACTCTGTGTCATCCAATTATTTCCTGAAGAAAACTGGAGTGATAAGCCTTTGAAAACTGAGCCAGGACTTCAGATTTCTCTCACTGTATTAAATCATACTGATCAAAAACATGGAAAGATATAGAAGCACAAAATTAACAGTGGGACAGAGAGAATGGGAAATGAGGATCCCTGGATGTAATAACACATGAGATGAGAGCGTCTAATATCAAGTAAATTTATTTGGACAGAGAGGGAATTACTGGGTGTGTAATACTGATTAACTATGTTGGAGAGAGACCTTGCCAAGCAGCATGTTTTGGTCAGCCTCTTTATAAAAAAGAATAGGAATGTAGGTAAAAGGTTAAACACAGAGGAAAAAAAAATTGCATCACTCCTCCTGTTAGATAATCCTTGGGCATCATCTGCATGAACTAGAGTAGAACAACTCACTTCTGGGAGGGATTCTGTCCCAGCTCCCATGACCGAGAGATTTCTGCCTTACCCTGTAAAAATGTTTGGAGGGATATTTATTGACATGAATGGGACTGTGCATAAATGTATCTGAGATCCTAAGTGTTTTGTGTTGTTTGTTTAAGTTCTTTATAGCAGAAAGACATAGCAATTTTTTTTAATGTCACATTTGCTGAGGAAAATACACTGGGTCATATGCCAGACTCGGGGGAAAAAATATACTATCATTTAAATCTATAGTCCCATAATTTTTCCTTTCCTACTTAAGCACATGGATAACAGTTTGAAACAACAACAACAAAAGTGTCCAATACACAGAGCATCTTTGTCTCTCTAATACACAGAGCATCCCTAATAACATTTATTCCCAGCATGAGGCTTCGTATGTCACGTCAGCGCCATCCCAACTTGGATGAACTCTGGAAGCGTTTGTCACTGCTATGCACTCCTCTCACAGAAGTGTCTGAGCAAGCTATAAAGCAACACAAATCATCAAGCACTCTGGTGGGGAGGCCCCGTCGATTCGGGACGTTTGGGAGATGAGTATCAGTCGGTTTAGAGCATTGCCAACAAACAGTTTTGAAAGAGGCTTGTATAAGGCAACAAAGGCACACATCAGATCTTTAAATACTCAAGGGGTTCTGTGGGAGCATTTCTTCAGGAGCAGGGAACTGTTTTATCTTAAGTTTCTTCAGAAAGTCCTTGCACTTTTAAACTGCGCTTGTGAGTATGTTTTGACTGTCCTTCATCGGGCTGTATTTAGATGGGTAAATCACAACTCTTTCAAGCTATAGCTCTTTGTAGTAAAAGTGAAATTAAATCACCCAGTCGAGACTAAGGGCTTTGAGAAAAGGATCAAGGGGTTGTGAAGAAGCAGCTGAGGGAGATGCCCTCCTTCCCCCTGCTGGCACAAATCTCTGGGCAGCATTTCAGGGGCTGTCCTGCACTTATTTCCTGGGGAATCTCCTGGTCTCCACCATGCACCAAAAATCCAGATACCTAGTAGATAGCCACAGGACTTCACCTAAATATATTTTTTCCCAATTGATAGCTGGGATATACTTAGATATTATGGAATAATACATGTATTTTTCAGATGCTGCGTTTTAATTAATGCGGAAGAGACTGACACTGAACAAGTGCTGCCTGACAAGTAAGCAGGTAAAGCACGTCCACCCATGTGCACGTGAGTTTGGAACTCAGGAGGGTAGGACAGCCAGCAACCTAGTTCTTCCTGCAGTGCAGGTCCATGCTCAACAAGTTTCCTGGGGGACACTTTGGTTATGCCTGGGCTTGGACCTTCAGCATCCCTTCATCCTGGGTGTGTCCCTTGTCCCTGCAGCACAGAAGCTGCAGGATACTGACAGAGAGCCCCTAGAGCCACAGCTCAACCTGCCTCCAGCCTTTCCATGTGCTACCCAGGCCATGAATTCCCATCTGTAACGCAGGAGGCAGCCTAGCTTTGCCCCTCTTTGACACTTTTAGTGGTTACACAGTCCTTTCAGTCTGCAGAAATCTCCAATGTGTTACTACTCACCAGTTTTGAGGGGAACACACCAGGGACATCACCAAGTGAAAAAGATTGGCATTGCATTACTTGTGATGTTAAAAGTCAAAAGGTTCTCCCCAGTGAAAGGATAGAGCAATGCTAAAACTAACAAGGCCTTGACATCTCCTTCCTAATGCCATATTCTCTACCTACTGTGGGAACAATGATCACTCAGAGCGTATATTTTGGGTAGCAAAGGTCCTGTGTACCTTAATATTATTTATGTCTATTTTCCTCCAGCGGTCTTTTTGGTCAGGGTTGTGATTTATGTTGCTTTTATCCCAGCTGGGCAGAGAGATCCTTTGATGGATTACAACCTCGGCAAACTCCAACGTGAGAAGAAGAATGACAGCTAAGACACTTAAACCAGACTTTTCACCATCCTGGAAAGGAACTGGCTTCCAGGATTTGGAGTTTTTTTAATGCTCTACCTCCCTCTGCTGTTACCAGCGAGAAGTTCCTCGACAATGGGAAATCATGTACTCGCGGCTTCGATTTCCATGCTCTCGCTCCTGGCGATGATGGGAGACACGGACAGTAAAACAGACAGCTCCTTCATGATCGACTCCGACCCCAGCCGCTGTATGAGGCACCACTACGTCGACTCCATCACCCACCCCCTCTACAAGTGTAGCTCCAAGGTAAGGCCTTCCCTCACCTCCTTGCAGCAGCTGCATCAGGGGGGTTGTTAAAACGACCCATTCTGGGTCGTTTTCTCTGCATAAGTTCCTATGCACCAAAATCTAGGTTTCAGAGACTTAGGGATGTGGACACATCTTGTGTGCACATGAGAACTGGGACTCTCTTTTCACCTTTTCAAAAGGAGGAACAAGCCACACATGCAGTAAATGCTAAGATTCAAAGGGGTCTATGGATGAATGCTAAGGATTCATTTGGGGTCTCAGCTGAGGGTGCCAAGGAGACAGGCTAGTTTGGAAGTTTAGATCATCCCAATCACCCCCTCCTTCAAACGAGTCTTTAATCTGGAGCATGTAAATTTGTAACTTCAGAGGTGAAGCACTGAGATAAAGAACCAAGCTGTAAAATGGTAGCTAACAAAGACTGTGAAGAACATTGCTTATTTCCTCCCTGCCACCCACTTAACTTCAAGGCCTTTATTTTCATGCAGAATGACACTTGGGTGTTTACTGTAGGGCTTAGGAGCAGACAGAAATACAAAATTGCCTTTCATTTGGGATTTCAAGCCTGAAAAGTTTTGTGTCAAAACGGTTTACAAGCCTGCGCATGTAGCCTACAGCCATTTATTTCATTGCATGGAGAAGAAGAATGGGAGGAAACAATGGGAAAATCCTTGCTGGTCCCTTTCGTCCTGTCCTAATTTGTTCCATCTGGGTTCATACAGTCTGTGCATTCAGGGAATAACTGCCAGAGCCAATGCTTCTGCCAGCCCTGTGCTGGGCAAGAGAGTGATGAGAGGCAGATATGTGACAGGGTTTAGGATGAGAGGGGTGCCTGCCATGTTGCCTGATGGAAAACTCCAGCAGCAGGGATCCTGGGAGCATTAACAAGGAGAAAGGATGCAAGCAGTTGAGATGGATGCAGTGCTGGCTGCGGACACCCCCGGATGCTTTGTGTGCAGAACAAGGCACGTTGCTTCCCATGGTTGGTGCTGGGGTGAGGCAACAGCATAGGTAGCAGCAGATCATAAAAATTAAAATGAAGCACAGAGAGAAGTGTCAACAGAAAATACGACCTACTCGGTGCTCTGTGCCTCCCCTGTGCACCAGGACAGCTGCTGCCCCGGCCATGCCCCTTCAGCCAGGCTTTTCCTGTGCTTGCTCACCAGAGAGGCCTCAAAACTGGGCAGAGGGAAAAGCCGTGCTCTGGGCTGCCTTGCAGTGATCTCTCAGCAGTGCTGCCTGCCTCACTTTGCCTGATTCACAGCAGTAGGAACCCACAGACATTTGCCCTACTGCTTCCAAATCCAAACAGTAAAATCATGCACTACTTGTGATTCAGGAGAGGTCTTTTGATTTGCTTTTAGCTCAGACTAGATCTTCTTACCATCTGGGAAACATCCAGCTTTAACACACAGGACTGCAGAGGTGCATCTGTTTGTGCAATATTGATGTTATTGCAGTTGGCTCCAACAAGAGGCAAAGCTGATAAGTGTAGGTATGTGGGTGGGTTTTACTTAATGGTATATGGGTGCTCCAAGTCCTCCCTTCTCTGAGTACTTCAGATCACCGGCTAGACCTGAGGACCCTCAGCTATCCTGGTGGTTTTGTCCAGGAGGGCAATGCTCCACCCAGCTGCCTTCACCCTCCACTCCCTTCTCTGCCAGAGTCCAAAGGCTTTTGCTCCTCATCTGGTTGTCCTGGTGGAGGCTTTTAGGATAGTTGTGTTAGGTGGGGTCTGCTCCCTAGTCCGTGAGTTCAGGAGCTTTGATCTGTTCAGGACTCTGTCGATGTGCTGCCTGGTGGCTGGGATGTGCCACTGGGTCACTGAGTGCCCACCTTCTCTGCTCCAGCACTGCCACCACCACCCTCTGGGTTTTTCTTAAAACTCTATCTGCCACAGATGACAGATAGAGGATGAGATGGAAATGAGAATACAGAATGCATTGTAATGAAAACCATATTATTTCAAAACTGAGCTTTGAGAAAAAGAGCTGTTGACATAAACATTTGCAATTTTGGCTGAAAAAGTTGGTTATTTTTTTAAATCAAGCCTTTAATGGAAATTATGTTTGAAAATATTATCACATCTTTTGGCTTCCCAAATTCCACAATGGTTTCAAGAACATTTTTTTAACAATACTGCAAGTTGTGTGGACTTTCTCATGAAGTAGAAAATGAAAACAGTTTCCATAAAAAGTGAAATAATTTTGACATTTCCTAGAAGATTAATCCTATTCGATTAAGCTCCTTTTTTTAAGGTCTCAGGGATCTGAATCATCCTGGTAGACATACAACTTCTGTTCTGGATCTAGCATATAAACACAGATGAATATTAGACTTGTTAATGAAAACTAGATGCAATGTCTGTTCACATATATATATAGAGAGAGAGAGTGATAAAATATAAACAAGTAAAAAAATGGAAGTTTCTGTGGGAGTAGCTGTGGGAATTGTGGTACTTCTTGTTTTCACCAAGTTTCCATTGTGAAGCTTGGGCTGACAATGTCAAGCAGAGACTTTGCCCTTTTTAGGGGTGATAAACTATTTTCAGAGACATCCTTTTTTACTTATGTTTTCCCTCTCAGTGCAGCATAGAATTACAGAAGACAAAAATTACCTCAGAAATTGCAAGATATATTATATTTGCTGTCCATCCTGATTAAAAAGGATTATGTCCACTGTGCTTCTCTGTGGAGGCTGCCAATAGTATCCACATGGGAAGCAGTTTTGCTAAACATCCAGCCAATATAATTTAATCATTAAAATCCCTTTTGCTTGTGGCCTCAGGCAGGTGATGAAATCAGTTTTCCAAAGCCTTCAGAAACATGGTCCATTACAGTATAAAAGAGACACAAAAGAGGGATGGAAGAAGGCCATTTGTTCCTGAAAAACAGTGTTTTCCTTTGACTTCAAGGAAATGTTTGTATCAGTTCGTGAGGTATTGTCTCTCCTGACCGTATTGGATTCTGCCTGACCTCTGTCACAGAGACCCACTGGTCTTCATCCGTGTGCTGGATTGCCTCTCTGCTGCAACCAGAGCCTCCTAAATTACAGTTTTGGCTGTCACAAGTGCTTTGTCCAGATGCGCCAGAAGTGTGCTACCACTGACAGCCTTACACTAAAGAATCCAGCCCAGAGAGACACTGACCAGATGAAGAGAGATTTAGCAGATGTTTGAAGACTCATGAGGTAGCTCAGGAGATTTTCAGTAATGCCTGCTTGCAGCCAGGCCATGGATACCGCGTGAAAATCTGTTCTCATGCGCCTCAGCCCATCTGCTGTTGCTGAAGAGTGAAGAAAAGAGGACCACAAACACCATTAATAACAAACCAGTTCACAGCTTCTGGATTTCCAGAATACAGCTCAAATGATCAGAATCAAATATTACCTCAGTTTGCCCTCTTTTGTACCTATGAGATTGTTGACTTTAAGTAAGAAAACCTATTCTTCCAGGGCTGCTCATAGATCCATGTGGTCCCCTTGTTGTAGGACTCTGTTCTTCTGGATCCAGCATCACAAGGTGACACACAAAAGCTCACATGTGCAGGGGATGAGGGGAGCCAAGAGGCACATGTATCAGGTTATAAAATACAAATACCCACATGTTTTTACTATATATACACCCTCTGTATTACTGTGCTATGCCACTACAGCATTACTAATTATTTAGGTGATAATCTCTATTGCACTGTAGTACACCATGCAATAAGCAGCTGGTGCAATTGATTAAATGGCAAAGCAAAGCTTTTAAAGTACATGCTATTTCCAGCTCGTTTGCACACCTGCCAGAATCCACTGGTGCTGTTCTGGATTTATGAGGAGGAGAAGGTTAAATTTTACTGAGGACTTCAGGTTAGCCCAGAGGGTTAGAAAGCTATAAAAGTGGGAATTTTGGATTTTTTTAATCCTGCAAGCTTGACTTGATACCCTAGGTGCTGTGCCATTTGTAAGAGTTTACACTGTCATCCAGAAACAGGGCATAAACCCAACTCTGTAATGTTACATTATATGAATACTGACCATCACCTTACAAAAAACTAAACAGCCAGCAAAATTTGAGATTAAAATTAGAGCCTCCATAGACTAAGACAAGTTTTTAAAGACAAGGTTTGCTAAGCAGTTATAAATGCAGTGGCTCATTGAATAAATATTGGCTGGGTTTGCATTAGGAAAGCAGCTGTTTATGAGACATGTATTGAGACACAGATGTGGACACATCATCAGATAATTATACCCTATAATTACACTGCTACAAATTTCTGTAGCCCTTCATTCTGTTTCTTGGGGATTTGTTTTTTTCCCCCTGGCATTTCTGAAAATACCTGCAGATACAGGAGCAGATGTGTGCCATGAAAAGCCCTTAGGGCAGCAGTACCAGAAGAGGCTGGCTGTTCCAGCTCCAGAAGCATTGGCCATTAGAAGTGACCTTGGCCACACTGTCATATTTGGGCTGAAATCATAGAATCATATGAATGGTTGGTTGGAAGGGACTCTGGAGTTCCTCTGAACCTCTGAAAAAGCAACTTCTGGCTCCTGCACATCCCCCTTTGCCACTCCTGAGCAGAGTTCTGCTCTGTTGCCTTTGCAACCTTCGAGCATTTCTCAGTTGCCATTGGATTGCTCTTCACCCTCCTCTTCAGCCAAATCTTTGGGAATAGCCTGTGACAGAGGTCTGGTGAGCTGGTCAAAGCAGGAGACCTAACAAGAGCTGTCAAGATGCTAGAAAGGAAACCAGCTGGTTTAAATGTCCTAATCTGCTGCCTTTCCTTTGCAAGGCAGGTATCTAATGTGCAGCTGGTATCTAATGAAATACCCTCAGCAGCTGTCTGCCTGGGAAGTGAGTTTTGTTTACCAAGGGGAAATAAATGGATTTTTATCTGACATTAATGGGGTGCTAGCACTTAAAGGATTGTCTGTTCCCCTGTTCTCTATACTCTAAAGACACTGGTGTTAAGGAGCTTGACATAGCTAAAGCTTGGGTGTGACTCAACATTTCACTGAAATTTCCTTCCCACAATATTACTAGTAACAGCTGCAGTTAATTTGTCTATGAATATGCAGTATCACAGGAAGGAGATCATAAATTTATGCTACAAATCATAAGGGATGGCAAAATTGTCACAGAGCAACAAGAACCCATCTCTTAATTTAACCGAGAAACAAGATGGTACCAATCACAGATCATCAGCTCATGAAGACATATTCCTCGTGATTTCTCTGTGTTGACTGCAACTGTAGTTGTTAATATATGAATACATTTCTAAGCAAACCATTTAGCATGCAAGTTCCCTTGGAAGAGTAATTTTTAAGCACTGTACAATGGATGATCAGAGCCTTTTCCATGGACACAGACAGCGCTGGCATTTCCTGCTTGGTATCAGGAAAATTCTCTTTCTCTTTCTATCCTGTCTTTCCTTATGACTCTGACTAAAGAGAAAATCTAACACTTGACATACCTGCTTGCATGACTTGGAGATTTGCAGTCAGTTGAACATGTGTAGTGAAAGAGGCCCAAAAGGGTTTAACGCTGTAAAATATTTGCTGGCACATCTGTAGTTATCATTTCAGATATTCTGGAAAAAAACATGAGATATGTGCAGCGTGGTTAAAAGTTAATGTTCTTCCTTAATTATAGGAAAGACAACTGTTTCACTGCCTACTTTGGATGACATAATAAGCTGATTTTGATGTTTATGTTGGTTAAGCAGAATTAGCTGTCCCCATGAAAGTGTAAGGGTTTGTTCAAGCTTGTACAACACTTATCCATTATCAGGGTGGTAACAGCTGTTTCTAACACATAACTTCCTGAGCTTCAGAGGATCCTCTCCAAGAATTATATAGTGCTTAGTGCTCTATCCATCTCCTCTGCTCAACAAGGGGTTGTTGGGGAGTAGGTGACTGCACATGGACCTTCCTTCCTTAGTGCCTCCTGTTGTGCAAGTTCCCTTGTTATGGTCACAGTTCAGATGGTGAACTCAGAAGGAGAAGAAACATGGGGCCTGCACTGCTTTTGGAAAATCTCACTAAGGAACCCTCATGTTTGGCAACAAGTTCATCTTTTTTTTACATTTGCACTTCCTTATGCCATGCAATGCATTCTATACAGATACAACTGATGCAATTATATAAATATATATGCACACATACAATTGCAAATACATATTCAAGGTGATCTTTGTAAAAGGAGGAAGCTACAAACTTCTTTAAAGCAATAAAGTATCTTCTTTATATTTCTACTTTATGTGTTTATACATCTAAGAATTTGAGACGTTTTCCACTAGTATACACGCTCAAAACGCTGGAAAACCGAAGTATCAGTCTGGCTGATGATTTAAGAGCTTGGCTGACCCAAATCTGGGGTCAGCAAGTCACAGTTGCAGCCACAGCGTCTGGAAAGCAGGGCTGGCTGTGATCATTTGGAGCCCTGAGGTCACTCCAGGTCCTGTTGTCCTCATTGGTATCAGTGCCAGGGACTCCAGGAGGAGTCCCTGCTTTTCCTCCTGCCCGTGTTATCTCTTCTCTCTCAGACACAGCTCAGACCCAAAGCACTGCGTGGGGCTGGGGTGCCCTCACCGGGGTGGTGGGATGCTGTGACAAAAAACCAGCCAGGCTGGAAGAAGGTAGCCATCTGCTGGTGTTCCCTGCGCTCTAGCAGCCGAGAGGGGGCACGTTCCCTAACCCGTGTCTCTTTTCCCTTGCAGATGGTGCTGCTGGCTCGCTGCGAGGGGCGCTGCAGCCAGACATCGCGCTCGGAGCCGCTGGTCTCTTTTAGCGCGGTGCTGAAGCAGCCCTTCCGCTCCACCTGCCACTGCTGCCGCCCCCAGACCTCCAAGCTGAAGGCCATGAGGCTGCGGTGCTCGGGGGGCATGCGGCTCACGGCCACCTACCGCTACATCCTCTCCTGCCACTGCGAGGAGTGCAACTCCTAGGGGCGGGCTGCCACAGCAGGGAGGGGACTGGCGTGCTGCCGATGGGAAAGGCTCCCAAGAAACAATCCAGAGTCAAGCCGATGCTCCCAGCACACGATTGCAGCAAGGACAGGACTAACCAGGCTGGAACGAATCTGAGAGCTGAAGTGTAAAATACCCTGGGTGCTGGATGGTGGATGCTGGTACCACGGTGTACAAAGGAGAAAGGGCGAGGACTTGTTTTTGAGAAGCCTTTCTTTTTTTCTGAAAGGATATTTTTGACAATTTCTTCTTTTTCAGGCTCAGATCTGACTACAGAGCTTTTACTGCTGGCCATGGGCAGCAGGGGAACAGAGAGGGAGGTCAGCTGGATGACAGCACTGAGCTCTGGAAGCCGATACGTTCAGACAGAGGATGGGCATCAGTTCCCACATGCAACCTCTTAACCTATCAATTTATTCTCAGTTTCCTACTTATACTGGCCTTCAAAACAAACTGTGCTGTTGGCAAGGGTCATGTGTTACTGATCTAGCAGCCAAGTGCTGGATGACTTTAACTGTGGTTTAGCAGAAATTATAAATAAACCATTGAAAAGTGAACTGGATTTGAAATGCCATGCTGGGAATATCCAGCCCTAGCCAGCTGAAATGATTATTTGCACCATATGTCACCAGAGTTCAGTGTTTGAGTGACTCTTGAGAAGTGAAAGGTCATGAGATTCACTATTACCCTCTAAAAGCCTAGAAAGGTGACACATCACATCTGTCACAAAGGCCATTATTCAACCTCTAAAAACTAATCAAATATTAAAATACCACATACTAAATGGAAACATTTATTAACTTAACTTAGACATATTTATGTACAGAACCAGAGCCACCAAAATGATAACTAAACCTAGGACTTATTTTCATCTATAGCTCTTAGGCCATTGAGCAACTACTATTTTGCCTTTTAAAGGCAGACAATCCCAAACACAGGGGAATCACACTGATGTATGTCCCTGTAGGAAGTTTAAGGCAGAGTCTGAGTCCCAGTGTTACCCATTCAAGGGCAAGGGCTGTGTTTCAATTTACTTAATGATCTGCTGCTACTTGGTGTCCTGTCCGACTCACCATTTGGCTTGGCAGCTGGTCCCTATGCCCACTTGTCCTTTGTGTTCACACAAGGATGTAAGAGGCTGAGGTGGGGTTAGCACAAGCCTACAGTCTGTAGGAGAAGCTGTCCTACAGCCAGGACATCAGAGCTGTGGGGTGTTGCAGAGCATGGGTAGCCAGTGGTTCTCTGCAAGAAGCGAGGCCATGAGCTGCTTTCCCCTGCAGGACCATTGCAGAAAGAAACGCCTCGAGGAGCTGGATGAATTGCAGTGTTTGGTAGGGTATAAGGATCTCAAAATAACAGGGGATCCGAAGTTTGGGAATGGTATTTGGTATTTGCAGAGAAACTCTGTCCCTCCTCCATTAACATGAGATGTTAAGGAAGGTTCATTCACAGTCTTTTGTGTCTGCAAGGAAACAATATAACTGTTCTTGTCTAATACTTCAATTCTTCTCTTCTTAAATGGCAGCACATCCAGTCAGACAGCAGCATGTCTGTGATGTTCACATAAAACCAACGGAGCCAGTGTTTTGACAGAAAGTCATGAAGGTGTTGAGAGCACCTCTGCTGTGTAAGGATTCATGGTCTGTAGCCCCTGCATGCATAGTCCCACAGTTATTCCCTGGGATAGGCTGGATTGGCTCCCATGCACAGCAATGACTGGCAGGGCCCCACGGTAAGGACAGGGAGTCCTATCCAAGAATAGGGTTCAGTCCATCTGTTCAACACCATCCAGTTTTTCTGCAGCAAATGCCATATGCAGGAGCTCAAGGATGCACACTGCCATTGCAGGGAACTCCCAAGGCCAGTCCTCCTGTGGTTACATTGGAGTTACTGTGGGTGGTCAGGCAAAAACAAATTCCTTTGCCTCTGCCACCTGACGGTGGATATGCAGGGGGTGTGAATGCAGAGGTGACAGACGCTGGCCTTGCAAGCCAAATCCTGGAGTTTGATGGCAATCAGTAGTGGAAAGGGATGAGGGACAGGTACGACTGCAGACACCAGCTAAAGAGGTTTGTGATTCATGGGAAGGACTGTCTCTCTCTTCTGGAGATGGCCTGGAGATGGCCAGTTTTCAATGACACAGAGCTGTGGGCAAACAAAAGAGTGAATCAAAGTGCTGGAAGCTGAGGAGCTCAGATTAAAATGTCAAACCCAGGACTGATGAGCCCCAGTGAGCTCATTAGACACCATGCACCCTTTCAGGATTGTCAGTCATTCTTCTCACATCTGATGCATGGTCTGAACATCAAAGGGCTAGCGAAGGGAGCATGAGCTGGGCATTATCACCAGACTACTTTATATGAAAGATCATATGTGTGTCCCTTTTCCACTCTCTTTCAACCTCCAGCATCTAAAGATCCCATTATCCAAAAAAGCACCACCCCCTACTGTTAATTATATATAGAAAATTCCAGTCCTTATCTGAAACATCAGCAATACCTTTGATAACCAAATAACTGTACTGCAAAATATGCATGACCTCTAAGCAGGGGTATAGAGGCTGCTGCACACAAACAGAGCTATGCAGTTGTCTAAGGAATTGGGAATGTTTGGAGGGTCACTGCTATATCCAGCATCACCTCCCCCCGGGTTGGGCTGCCACTGGTCTCCTCTGCCAGTGCAAAATGAGGGGGCTGTGACATGAAATTTGGGTGCAGTTTGCAGCACTCCTGCATGGCTGCAAATGGCTAGGCTGGTTGGCTGGGACATGGCAGGACAGCATGGCCCTGACCATGGTCCTCTGGTGAGGAGAGAGGAGGGGGTTGAGCAGAGACCGTGCCTGAGAGATTTAGCAAAAAAGAGAATATTAACAGTGAGAGAAGAGCTTGGCCGGTATTTATTCCCACATCCCCCTCGCTAACACAGTGCCAAAGCTATATTTGCTCAAATAGGTCTCACAGAAGATATCTGTGTTTCCACAAAAGCTTTTTTTCCCCCTCTCACCCCCGCATTCCCTGCACTTCTGCTTGGTTCCTCTAATGAAAACATCACCTTGTGACCTCAAAGGCTATTGCCAGGCATAAATGTTGAGGTGAATTTAGCATTATCTAACTGAACTGCTGAGTTGAATAACTGCATGGAAAGAATAGAACAGAAATTATGAATGACAAGACAAAACATACCTGTAAATAGCTAGAACTTGATATTAAACAATGAATTAAACTTTCAAATTCTCCTTTTGGCTTCGTCAGGCAATCTTCATATTAACATTTAAGAAAAGGAGGAGCTATTCTTCAAAACCAAGCGCACCAAAGTCAGTTATAAAACTATATTTTGACACTTTTTTTGGTCAGCATTTTAGGCAACTAAGTGCTGACTGAAGCACACAGGTGCTACCTGAGGTAAAATTCAAGTGGTGTATTGAAGCAAATGAAAATGAGGCTTCGGGTAAAAACTACAGGATCTGGCTCATAGTGAGAAAGAGTCTAAATAGTGCTTGGAGATGAATTGGCTTCCTGATTTATTAGTCTGACACCACTCCGGATACTTAAGCTCTGTTTTTCGAGTCAGAATACTGTGTAAGTGCTTCTTAAATTGAACAACAGGGAGGACAATGCCCAGGTTTTTTAGATAATGTTTTGGGGTTTTTTCTTTGCTAAAGCATCCTTTTGCTGGCACTTGAATGAGAAGGCTTTGTCCTTTTTTCCCCCCTCACTGCACCTCACCTTTCAGGCACTGCCTTCCCCCACAGAGAGGCTGGTTCAGCTGTGATCATCCTGTGGTTTGCTCAAGATGAGATGTGATACAGACTTTTGACTGTCGCCACCCTATGCCCTCCTTCCTTTTGATTAACTTTCTGAGTCCAGCTTGGCTTTTGAAAGCCACCTGTCCCCAGCAGTGGTGGTGTTATGTTTCAGCTGGATTGACTGTACTCATGGAGACCAGAGGGAAACAGCAGAGCTTTGGTGGGACCCTTTGCTCGTAAGAAAAGCCTTATAATGCCTCTGTAGTTTTTGCCATTCAGAAATAATCTGTGATTTGCCTGGACAAAAAAGCCCATGGCCTATCAAATTTTATTTATTCTGCTCCCAGCTTCAGTGGGTTAAGCACTTAAAGCTGCACAGACACAAAACCAGTTTGCTGGTTCAGCCTTTATATGGACCATTAAACTGAAGAACTCCCTTCTTTCCTGGAGATGTGGCCCCTGACCTTCCTTACAGCACCTCACCCTGCCTGCTGACCTTGAAGAACTGCAGCAAGACAAGGGTTCCCGAGCCTGCCTGTCTCTCAGTGGCCTTTATCAGGGCTTTTGTAAGCTGCTGTCACAGGGCTCAAGGCAGTGAAGGAGAGGCCAAATTTGCTGACATCCATGGAGCACCACAGCCTGTGCTGGGCTTTCATATGAGCCTTAGTTGAGACCTGTCCACCAAATCCTTGCAGATTTACCATGAAGCCCTGAAGCTCAGGCAGCACTGTGTAACTTGCAGCCAGAATATTTTTGTGAAAGAGGAGAGAAATAAAAGAGGTTACTGTCCCATAGCAATAGTCTGATGCTCTGCTGCTCTGTGTGTCTAACTTCAGTTCTTAGTCCCTCATGTGAGAAAAGAGAGGCCCCTGAGCTCCCTCCTGTGGGTGTTTTTTCAGTAACTAGTCCTACATGTTTAAAGACAGTAGTTTCTTACTGCAATTGCCTAAAATGGGATTAAACTCTCTAGGAAATGCAGTTCTGCTCGATAAAGAATTTTTCCTCCGACTTGGGCCCTAAGTATTTTCGAAAAATCCAAATGCCATTAAAAAAAATCAGTGTAAGGGGAGGGAGTGATGCTATGACTTTCTTTGACTCTGGAAGTATTTAAAAGACAAGGGGCTGACAGCCTTCTGAGATAGACTGCATTATAGCTAACAGGCCAGAGGGACCTCTGTCTGACACTGTGAGACTGGAAATTTCCCAGGTAGGTGCCTAACTGTATTAGAAATTAAATTTGAAAAATTCACACAAATAATATTGAATACACATTTAAAGTACTTCAGGTATTGAGATGATGTCCTCACTGCCTGCTTTGTTCTTTGAAAATGACATCAAAATGCTTTTTCAGAACTCAAACATTCCCAAGGGCAATCGCCCCCACAGCTTTACTGAGATGCAGTTTGGTACTATTAGAAGTAATAACTCTTGATCCCTGTGTCATATTCCTGGGTACGTATATGCACAAAACAAGGCTCTGTTTCACAGGCATCTCTCTTTAGCCTCATGTCCTTCTACCATTTCCAAAAGCCTGGAGAGAAGCAGAGACCTCTCCTGGACCCTCTCTACCACTCTTAGAAAGCAGCTGTTTTCCACCACTGTTTGTAAGATATACAAAATTTAGCAAGCAGGTGGCCTGAATCACTCCTCATTCTCCTGAAGGGAGACATCCCAGTAGGTGCCCAAATCCTCCTGAGTCCCTCAGCTGACTGCTCAAATACAGCTCTCTGTGTTCACATCAGGGGTCACTTGTTGGAGCCAAACAAATATTCCAGACATAAAGTTCTATAGCTCCTTGTAGAGAAGGGATCAGGTTGATCCCATACCTAGCTTCATGGCTATGTTTATTCTTTTCATCTGTTCTTTCTATTGGTCTCATTTATTAAATTGCAGATGTTCCCAACTCTTGTTTTGATCCCTTTAGAGTATTGACAAAGAGGTTATAGGCACTTTAACAAAATTGTTGTATGGTGTTTAGAAATTATGCCCTTTCTCATCTCTGGAATAATATTTAAAAAGGCAGTTCTCTTCTACAGACTCTAACTGTGGGAAAAATACATCAGAAGATGAAACACAGCAGAGAACATTCGGGGGAAGTAAGACATCATATTCTAC